TGCAGCAGAGGGTGCCTGGCTATCAGGGAAGTGAGCTCCCAGAAGCTGAGGATCCTGTGTCAGATCCTGTGTCCTGGGCTCCAGTGAGGGATGGGACCTTCTCTTCTCGGCCAGTCTGAGCATGTTTGTGCCTGGTTTTTGACACCCCAGCAGCACACATGTTCCATGAGTGATGCCTGCGCCTTCCAGCTCACCGATGCTAACAGAGGGGGTCCTCTGCTTAATGTCAGAAAAACCAGATGTGCCCAGGAGCTTTGAGCTACCAAGCACCAGAGACTTCAGATGGAATATTAATAATAATAAACATATTATTAATAATAAACATATAGTGTTTATTGGAGCCAGACCCTGTTGTAACTGCTTCACATATGTCAACCTGTTCAGTCCCCACAACAGCCCATCTGTGGTAGGACTAGAGTTAAGGCCACTTTACAGGGGATGAAGTAGAGAAACAGAGAGGTTGAGTAACTTGCCCAAGGTCACATAACTGGCAAGCAATGAGCTGGGACTCAGATCAAAGCAGTCACATTATGTTATGCTGCCTCCCAAAACGTCTGCCCTTCAAGAATTACCCCCTCCACCCCACACTGTCAGCTCAAACACAAATCCTAGTAGCTCAGCCTCATGACCTTCTTGACTTGGAAGAAGAACCTCCATATCAGACCTCAATTTCTAAACCTGTTCTAGTCCATGATATTTTACCATTATGATGATGCTGCAGTGAAGGCAGTGATTCTTGGTATAAACTCAATCTTTTCATCATTATGGCAATTTTTCAAAAGCTAAGATACTCTCTTCAATCCCTGAACCCCACTCCCAACATAGGCCTGGGGTTTGAGGCCAGATAGAACTTGAGAGCAAAGTAGAGAAATGGGATGGGCAGGAAAGTGTTCATCTCAGGATGAGCTGAATATGACCTAGGTGCACATGTCCCTCCAGAGCCATCTCAGGAGGGGGTTCAGCACTGTGAGTGCTCATTCTCTCAAGAATTCACTGTTGCATGAGTGGTCCACACTTCAAATGCTTCTCTGATCCTTCCCTAAATATAGAAGTCTGGAGAGAGTATTTTTGGAAATGGTATGATTCCCTGCTCTTGGTCTTGGACACATAGACATTTCAATTTAATCTTCAATATCTCCTGGTGTTGTCAGTGAAATGCACACCTCACCTTTACCACTGCAAACCCTTTCCCTATGATGCTCTGGGGAGATGTGTGACAGCCCCTTAGAAGTTAATCTGGTGCTTCACAAACTTTATTTTCTGCCACCTAAAGTGGAAATTCAAAAGTTAAATTGGAGAGTCCCCCATAATTAGGGGATCCTTGTCCTGGTTTGCCTGGAAGAGTCAGGTGTCATGCTGTTGGTCAGCACAACTGCTAATAGAGCTTCCTTTCACTCCCAGGAGAATCTGGTTTGAGCATAACCCATCATTAAGGTGTGAGTCAAAGCAGAATAAAGGTCAGGCTGTGTCTGCAAAGCTTGCTCTGTTTGGGTCATTTGCACAAAGTTGGGATAGAAGTAATGCTCTCCCCATGTGTCTTAGGATTGTTTTCAATACAGGTTAGATATAAAAACACTGTTCGTAGAAACCGATACATCTGACAATAAAACCTATAATAATAATTAATGGGGGAGTGTGTCAGTGGCCTCTACCACCCCCTTGACCCTTTACCCTCTGAAGGGAACTAACCAGTGGAACATCAGACAACAACGTGGGGCCAAGTGGGAGCAGGCAGACCTTCTCTTTAGTCTCATCACACAGAGAGGGTTAGAAAAATAAATAACCTTGACAGCTGACACTCACTGAGTGCTGATGACGGCCAGGTACTCCCCCAGTTACCATAGGTATGCCAAGGTAATGGGTCCTCATGGCGCCTTACCAAATAATTACTACCATTACACCCACTTTCCAGATGTGGAAACAGAGGCACAAAGAGATGGAGGGACTTGCCCAAGGCTGCATATCTGGGAGGAGGTAAAGCCGTATTTGAACCAGGCAGCCTAGTTTCAAGGTCAAGATGCCACAGTGCCGAGCCTCCCTGCCCTGTGTGTACCTAGAATGCACCAGTGTGCCCTCTCTGCTTGCCGCTGCAGCAGTCCTGGCACAAACATGCAGCTCTTGCTTGTGCTGTTCCAAATGCTCCAAAGGCTCTTTGTGTAAACCTCACAGACCTGGACCCCCAGGCCACCCTCTGTCATGGTAAGGAAGCCATGCAGACCCCAACTCTGACCCTGACAGTTGGCTTATACACACTCCCAGCTTCTCCACCTCCTCAGATGACGGCCCTAGGCCTCCTCCAGGCACACAAGGCATACCTTATCATCACCTACTACATTCTGCTCCCCTGCCAGGCATCCAGTACTGCTGCCACTTCGCAGTTCATTCCCCAGGCCCCCAGCAGCATCTGCTCTGCCAGCTTCTCTCTCTGAAGTACACCTTCATCCTCACTATCATGCTCTTTGTCTCCTTCTTTGCCACCACCCTTCCCCTGTGATCCCAGGAACTTTCCAGTATGTTTCCAATGTGGGGCGGTGGTGAAAATATAAGCCTTCCAAGGCCCTGCACACAGTAGGCCATCATCCCATATAAGACAACATATGCAACCATGCTTCGCAGGGGACTCATACTCTCCACTAGCATTTGTTGAATGAATGAATGAATGTTCAGTCTCCCTGACTTCTGGACTCCAGAAATGCTGGGTTTGGGTGTCCCCAGTGCTACATGCAGCACACTCATAATGTGGGCTGTTTTCTAAAACCGCAGAAAACAGCAATACATATTTACCTTATTAAATGCTAGCTTGGTTTGCTGTGAATTGTATGTCTGCATGAGGGGAGAGAGGGCAGAGCCAGGAAAGGTTAGGAGAAAAACTCTCCAAAGTAGAGGTGGGAAAGATCTCAAGGGCTCACGTGTTAGGCAAGACACCAGGAAATATTCAGAGATGAGAGGGGGCTGGGCATTAAATGGACAGAGAGAATGATGGTAGAGGGGTATCCAGGCATGCAGAACAGCTGTGGGACACCTCCCCTATTGGGCCTTGAGGGGAATCATTTAAAGATTTCCCCCAGTGTCCAGGACTAAAAAGAAAAGCCCCTGTATTTCTCCCTCCACCCAAATCTTGGGTTTCTGTCACCCCCCCCAAACACCTGCACCCTAGAATGACAAAGCCACCATCTCTTTCCCCATAAGAATCTCTCCCTTAGAGACAATGAGGAAAATGAGAGCAAAGAACAGACTAATTTAAAGAGTGTCCATAAAGGGGAGGAGGGTTGCTAAGACAAATCTTTTATTATTAATTTTTTTTAAGACAAATCTTTTAAAGGAACCATTTGGGTGGCAGAAACTAGGGACAGAAATTAGACTTAGCCACTGTGTTGCACAGGGGCTGATCACCGGTCCCTCCCCTCTCCCCACCCCCCCCCCTCCACCAAATCCTGGATAAATAGCAGTCAGACCTCTGACAGGTCACCTCTAGCTGGCCTGAATCATCCCGACACCCTCCCCTCCGCAGCTGCTCCAGCCATCCAGCATAGGAGATGGGACCCCACCTCTGGCACCTGGTAGCCACTTCCAGATGCATCAAAGACATTTCAGGAGTGTGCTAAAGGGAGGCTCAAGGAGGCCACTGGCCTGCAGAGGTGGTGTTCCAAAGGGCCAGCATTTCCCTGCCAATTATCTTCCAAGACAAATCCCCACTTCACTAATTCTGCTGTGCCCTGTGCCTGACCAGTAGGGCCAGGGTTGTGAGACTGCCTGCTGGATCCCCAGACCCGGACTGTAGCCCAGAATCATCCAGCTCAAGGGTGTTAACTTGCACTCTCTGGAGTTTGGGAGAAGGAGGGAATCCAGCCCCGAACACCGACATTTCCAGAGCACCCTTTCCCAGGCACCTTTCAGAGACCTCAGTGGAGACGCCTCAGAAGTCAGCCAGCTTGGCATAGGCTTTGCGGCTCTGGCTCTGGGGCTAGCTGCCGCTGTCGGTGCTGTCCTGCGCG